ATTGAAATGAATTGAAATGGATTCAGATTTTCAGAAATATTGATTCACAAATGTTAAAATGAATTTCAATCCTGAATGCATTTTTATTCATTTATAGAAATTGCATGGAGCACATCTCTATACCTTTCAATCTCAAAATAATATTAGCTTTTTCTGTGCAATCGTGAATACTGTTCACAATTGCACAGAAAAAGTTAATATTGTTCAATTCAAAATTTTGAATAGGAAATACAGTTTTTTAATCCAATTGAATCCAATTGAATCTAAAAAAAGTATTCGTTATTTAAAATACGCATTCGAATAGAAAAAAATTTCAATCCATTTTCGTTTGCTGGGAAGCATAAGGCTCGATTTCATTGTAATGTAAACATTAATCTCGATTTAACTTACTGTTTATCCTTTTCTAACATCAATTCTTATCAATGCAAATTAACTTTAATCTCGGCTTAATTTACTTACATGCATCCTTTTTTTAGAACTAATAAAAGATAAAAGTAAATTAAACCAGATTGAAGTTAAGTTGCATTGATAAGAACAGACATAATTTTTAAAAAAAGATAGAGAGTGAATTGAACGAGGTGAGTTAAATTTTATATTGATGGAATCGATGTTTAAAACGGTGTTCCTGAGATCTCGAAGCCTTCTCGCGGAAGCGCATTGTTGTCGCGGCGCGTATCCATCCGGTGCATTCCATCGCAGGTGTATTTTCGTGCCGCGTGGAGTGTCCGCCGCCGTAGCCGCGAGTAAAAGTCAAAGAGCGTGCTCCGTTTCTTTCCCCCTTGCTCCTTCACGACGCGGAGGAAGCGACGGATGAGAAGACGCCACTACCGTCGCCACCGTCGTCGTCCATGTCGACGACGACGGCGGCGATCAACCTGGAACGCCGCTTTTAGATCCGAACTTTAGTCGGACTCACCGGACGGTAACCATCGGAGATGTTCGACGGGCGATGTTGTTGTGCACTTCCTCCTCTTCCTCTTCACTACACACCTACACCTCGTCCGTACTGGAAGAAGGAAAGGACCAACACTGTGATCGTTCGCCCCCAAAGAAGATCCCGTATCCGGATCTATCTCGTGGAAACTCGCTTTTCGTCTCTTGTGGAGATTTCACCTGTCACCGTGCACGATCGTGGTACACGCGAATCGTGATGGTCTTTTAATCTCTCTTTCTCTCTTTCGCGTCCTGTCTTCCCACTCACGTTTTTCTTTCTATCTTTTCCTTTCTTCCTGTGTTTCTAGCCACACTGATTTCGCGTTTTCTCTTTCAAGAGCTGACGAGCGGAGCAGCTACCGTCCGTCGGGGCCACCGATCAGCTGTGCACTGCGTATCGACCACCGCGCTGCTCGGCCGAGACTTTCGTCCCGGCGCGTCGCGACGCCTTGCGTCGCGGACGACGGCGGACGAGACGTTTCGCAAGTAATTTAATATTTTGTCGATTTCTCCGGAGCGAAACGATCACGAACGTCGACGACCGCACGAAGCGATGGGAGCTCGCGCGATCACGTAGTCAAGATGGCCGTCGATAAGAATAAAGTGGCCGTCCCTATTTATGAATGGAAGTCGCGTCACGACAGCTCGCCGCGGTTATGAGGAACGAGAGGCATCGAGAGGTGCGATGACGGTCGCTGAGAGAGAGAGAGAGAGAGAGAGAGAGAGAGAGAGAGAGAGAGAGAGAGAGAGAGGAGTCAGGAGGGATGCGACGTCCGCGCGCTATTTTGGATCGCGTACGAGACATGGACACCGACGCATGGCATCGCGGATACGGTCCTCCTTTTCTTGCTGTGTATTCTGATTTCGCCTGGCGTTTTTTCTTGCTACAATTCTCGAGTAGAAACTACTTGAGGACAATTGAGAGACTAATATTCGTTTCTGTCAATATAGAATTTAATTTTAACTTTTTTCGTTAACTACTTAACTTCATTTGTTTTTAGTTCTACAGCCCGGTTCTACGAATATAAGATTTAACTTTAATCTCGATTTAACTATATTATTATTCATCTTTTTCTTAGAATTAAAGTTAATTTTATATTTGCAGAACTTGGGCTTAAGAATTGGAAAAGGCGAAGAGATGAATCGAGATTGAAGTTAACTATATTGATAGAAATGAATATAAAGCTCGATTCTAACGTAAAATTCATTTTAAACAGTTCAATTTATTCTTTGACTAAGTTAATCTTACATTGATGGAACTGGGCCTAATCTGGCAAAATTAAATCGATGATTAAATCGAACAGAAAGAGAATTACAGCAAGAATTGCAAAAATATTTTGTGTTGAAGAGATCTTTACATTCTCTTATAACGACTGCATAATTAAACTTACCTGACTATTATTCTACTCCGGTTTTTTCTTCATATCTTCTTTTTGGAACTTCATATCATATTTCATTCATATGTTCTCCGTATCTTTTAGGACGACGCTATTAAAATGACACTAGATACTTTTTAATTAGTGACATAACATCGTTATCTTTTTTGGTATTCTATGAGTAACAAGAGATGTTTTCCATTTAATGATAAGCCAACACAAACATCATTCTATTCTTCTTGACATTCAATGATTAATAAGGACAGGATGACACTTGTGTCAACTTGTGTCACCAAATGGAAAGTACCCAAAGATAGAACAATACTTGTCATTCAATGGAAATCACCAACTGTTGTGACTACTGTAGTGACTACTTCTTTCCATTTGGTGACACGAATCGACACAAAAGTATCATTCTTCTTTGTTACTCATTGTGCCAAGAAAAATAGAAGAATATTTGTGTCGATTCGTATTGTTAAATAAAAAACATCCATTGCCAACTAATGTACATTAACTTTAATCTCGATTCAACTTACTTTTTATCTTTTTCTATTTCTAAGAATTGGAAAAAGGTGAAAAATAAGCTAAATCAAAATTAAAATTACTCTACATCGATGGAAATAGGCATAAATAAAATGTATGCTTTCTATCCATCCTTGTCACTCATATCGAGATATAAAAATATCAATATCATATATATTTAACAAAAAAATAGTGCCCAGATATCATATATAAAATTATAACATTTTATATTATATTAGATAGGAGGAGCTTACGTCGCGCTGTGATAAATGACGAGTGCTTCAGGTATTACTGTAAACACTGGTATATTGATTTCTACGGATATATAAATCAAAATTAATATAATAATACAATAGTAATAATAATAATAATAATAATAATAATAGAATTACTAATGCGGAATAGACAGTTGCATACGAGTTGCACTGTTGCTCGATTTTGTTTTCTGGAACAATGGATTAGTGGAAATAAGCGGAGTCGAGCATCCGGATGCTATTATTTTAAATATTTTCGTGGCTCGGGAGAAAACAATCATGGGAATTGTTTGCGCTCGTTCTCTGCTTGTAAATCAGTAAAAGTGCTAACGAATAACACAAAATGTCTCGAACCACGCTGCGGAATCCAGAAGAAACGTACGCATTCTGGATCACGTGTCTCACGAGAGATATAACAAAAAAAAAAAACAAATTCTTTCTTCTCCACATATAACGATGTTTCTTGTTTTCTGTTGTGCAATCATATTTTAAGAACATGAGGATATGTTAAACAAATTCATAATTCCAAACGTACCTTTCTCATTAATGCAAATGTCTCAATCATGTTTAAATATTTCATTACTGTAACTCGTGATAATGAATGGCTGAATGAAAGCGATGGAAAAAAAGAGAAATCTAAACGTTTAAAAATATTTACGCAAGTTTATTAATAATGTTGAAACATTTTATCAAGCGTTTCTAGGATTATTGTATGTACTTGATTTACTTAATCGTATGTAAGAATAATACTTAGGAATAATGATTATTATCCAAAGGATAATTTCTATTAAGATTGCAAAAATATTAATGGCACCAATTTGGTTCTCTCAAACGCATACGTTTCTTTTGCATTCTTAGTGATAATTTCCATGATTATTGCCACAGAATGACAAAATCATTATCGCTTTTTATAGTAAACTTAATCCTTGGATTAACAATAGCAAATTAAAATTTTGTAATACTATTCAGGTCAAAACTATGTACGCGTGCTGTACATAGTGGGAGAAAAAGAAAATAAAGGAGAAGAAAAATGGAGAAAATCAATATTCTCTATCATTTTTAAGATTTTGAAAGCCTTAATGCACTTATGTATGTTTTCGTGTCGTTTGCGGTAAAAAAGCTAATCCGTTTACACCTGACTTGATCCCATAAGAAAGGGATGCGATTCAGCAATAATTGCTTAGCAAAAGATATGAACTAATCAATGACGGCGACGACACAAGCTTACGACTCGAAAGACGAGAGTTTCAACGGTAGAATCCCCGTTCGTTTTCGATGCTATTGTTGGACATATTAAATTACAAAATGTCTGCCGTTGAAACTCAGTCGAGGCGATTCACAATGCCGTCTCGCTAGGCCGATCTCGATGTCTAATCGAAGTCACGCGATCGCAGACTCGCCAAGGAAGGTCCGACCTAGTCATCGTTGACCTCGATCGGAATACTCGTAGTGAAGGTCGGCGTCTCCAACTCCTCGTGCTTCTTCATCTTCATACTCTGCAAGTAACGAGATTCGCAGTTATATCGGTCGAGGACATGGAAAAAATGATGGTTTACTGCGCGGTGAATTGCGATGGGATTGCATTATTGCGCGATAAATGAATTAAAGGTGTGAATTAAAGACGTGAATTAAAGGCTTGTCGAAAAGCGCTAATTATTTAGCTGAACGCGAATGCAATTAGAGATCTCCCCATGTGTTACCTACAACTTACCTGTTGCAGTTTATAGTGATTAATGATATCCTGATCGGCTGGACAGCTCTGTAGGAAAGCGTCGAGCCTGTACATGTGATGCATGTACCGCCACAGATGTACCAGAGTCTCCGGTATCTCGAAGTCGGCAAAGTACTTCCCGGCGACCCTGATGTGCTGCAGCCGCGGCATCAACTCGCAGTCGAAGCAGCACATGGTGTCGCCGGTGAGGAAGCGCGTACCTTTGCGCCCCAAATGTTCATCGATCTTACGCAGATGGGCCATCAGGGAGGAGGACTTGGGATCCTTGTCCTTGTCCTTTGCATTCAGTAACAGCAGCTTGAGTTTCTGTGAAACGAATAGACATGTAATTTCTCGTCTCGCCAGAGAAAAGGGTATAATTCAACAACTCAGTTTCCTGATTAGTTTCACTCTCGGCTGGATTGATCAACACTCACGCTGAACAAGTTCTCCACAAGAGTGGCCACTTCCTTATCCTGTACAAACAGATTGTGTCCGCCAGGAATGTTCTTCATAATGTGCCGTTCGATCTTTTCGTTTTCCAGTATCGCGTCGCCATTGTCGATCAGGATAGGCGGCGGCGTGGCCTGGAAGTTGGTGCGAAAGTCGGGCGGTGGTTTTTGCATGTCCACGGTGGTCACCTTCAAGGAAATCGTCTTCAGCTCCGCCAAGAGATATAGATCCATGAAATATTCCTGGCAGAAAAGACAGGCGCCCTTTCGACGGCCATCGATCGTCGATGCCTAAAAGGGATATTTTTTTTTCATTAATTAACATCGAGAGAGAAATATAAACAAAATTTCTAGTTGACTAAGAAATATATATTTGGGATAAAAAAATATATGCGATACTCAAATCTATTTTAGATTTAAGAATATAGATATTATTACGATTTATAATGTCTATTTTTTTTCATATATATAATTGTATTGTACATCTCGTTATTTTTCGCAGTAAAAGCTGCATTTTGCGATTATTATTAACGTTAAAACTGCATGTAAATTCTGCGATATCTTGCGGGTTCGATTATCCTGCCTGTATCTCTGAGCGATAAGAGGCTGACGTCAGCCAACAACTAGTTCACGAATCCAACACGGCGTGGCGAAACGCGCGAATCTTTGTGTTTGCGAGTGATGAGCAAACCCAACCCATTAGTCAAACCCTCGATCAATGTCCCACCACCGCACATTTTTTTTCCTGCTCGATCAGCCGAAGCGAGAGAGTACCGAATTCGGTAGAGCACGGCGTACTCGTTTCCCCGATGTCACGGTTTATTTATTCGCTCTGACGTCCTAACTGCGTTCATGGTCACCCTAAAAAAACCTTAAGCAATCTATCAATCAAAATTCTTCTTTTTTCGCCAATGTGTTATTTTCGACATAGATAGATATTTTCCAAGCTAGAAAACGTGTGCATCTATCAGAGCTATTACTTTTAACAACTTTGAAGATTCAAAGCTTCGAAAGAATCCGAATATTTTCGAAGTTTACTCCGAATTTTTGAAGTTTGAAGTGCTTTCGAAGCTTTGAATACATTACGAAACTTTAATCTTTGAAGCTTCGAAGTTTGACTTGTACCGTCAAACGTCGAAAAATAAATATTTACTGTCGAAAACTTTTAGAGTAAATCTCACTTTGAGTGAAATCTCACTCTTAAAGATAAAAAAAATTGAATCACTCTTTTTCAAAACTAGCTTAATTTAAACTCTTTTTTAGTGAGATTCCACTTCAAAGAATTTAGAGAGTATCATCACTACCAGGGAAATTCGATTTTTTTGTCTTCTAATCCGGTTGGCTGGCGGCTTCAACCATTCAACTTTATTTTCCTCTGGCATTTGTATTCTGTAATTGTACACCTCTCGTGCCTTCATACTTTTTAACCTTTGATCGTTTCAAGAATTATTGTATGATATTGCATCTAATACACCGTATCTAATGGACAATCGCGCGAATATCTTTCGTTATATGACATTCCCTCTGATCGTTATCTCCGATATTTTGATCCTTTACCCAACCGATGGAAGCTAAACAACCCACGCATTGTGTAACGTAATCGTTCTCTCCTCGGACAGACCCGACCACGATCGTCCGTAATTCGAGCAAATTGAATCTCGGCAGTTTGCCAACTCTCTCTCTCTCTCTCTCTCTCTCTCTCTCTCTCTCTCTCTCTCTCTCTCTC